ACAATGGAACATGCATTTAGTTTTAGCCCTCATGCCGCCTCCACACTTATCGACAAGGTTTGTGTGACAGCTTTAAGAAAGGAAGAGCACATTGCATATGTGCATATGTAAAAGCAGCTCCCTCTGTACTCATAATGGGCTACATATGTAATTGGGCTGCCCACCCACAACATTTCCTCATCCACTGTGTAACTGTGATGTCTTTTGTGTGGTAGGAATTTGCCAAGTGGCTCATTCAGGGTCATGGTCACTGCTAATGCAATCTGCATTTTTCTTTGTGGTTTTTAAAGGGGCACTGTGGAAGCAGTGCAACAGAGGAGCCCAGTCACCAGCTTGCGTTGGTTCATGGGCACCTGCCTGTGAGAGCACGTGCTGCAGTGCTGCTGCTTCCCCTTCTGATTGAGGAGCTTTCTCAGATAAGTAGAGTGTCTTTTGTAAATGTGACCCCCACTCCATCACAGTGGAGTAAGCACTCTGACCTGTGGTCATGGTGCATTTATCTGCTGCTGCTGCAAGCAGAGCAAAATACAGCAACCCAAAGCTTGCCCCCTATCAGGAAAGCCCAGATTTTTTGAAGTGCTTGAGTTTGTATTATTTGGATTTGGGTTGGGTGTTTTGTTTTGTTTTTTGGAGGAAGAAAGACTTGGCAGTCTTCAAATGAGTAGGACAGCCTACCTGGTGTATCATTTCAGTAGCAGTTGCATGTTGAGCCTATAGGCTCTAGGAGCCTCCCCTAAAGGACATAACTTTATCTTGTCCTTGTGATTTTGTGCTTTGATTTAACTAGCTAACAATTTACGATGACCTGGAGGGTAATAAAAAATTCTGTGCTGAAGGTTTTATTGTTTCATTTTGATATGCATTAAATTTTGGTACTATCTTTTACTGGGGTTTCTCACTTCCACTTTCCGTGCAAGTTGACATTAATAACCCAGGTATGAAAACAAGAAGGCTGCAGACACAACACGTGCATGTTCTCTGCTGGTTAAGCCCATTTTCCTGGTTAAGATTCTTGTCTCAATGGGCTCTTCATAGTGCATTCCTGCCCTGGACCAGATGTGCTGTATTAATATGGGTTTCTTTACATTGGAACTAGATGATTTAAAGATCTGTTCCAACCCAAACTATTCTAAGACTGTGTGGTTCCTTAAACCTGTGGTAGTTCTGTATCATTGCTTTTGTCACCTGTGTCTCAGCACAAGAGCCATACTGACTGGTTGCCACAGCTATTGCTATTTGCATGCTAAAAATAAACTCAATAAACAGGGAAAATGTATTTTTTCCACCTCCTTCCAGAAGATGTTGCTGCTGTGATGTGTGATGGATCCAGTCAACATGGTTTGGGGAAGTTCCAGAAACAGTATTTTTGGTAAGTTCTAATTGTCATGTCATGACATTAGGAAGAATTTCCTTACAGAGAGGGAGTGTTCAATCATTGGAACGGGCTGCCTGGGGCAGTGGTGGGGTCCCCATCCCAGGAGGTATTCAAGACATGTGTGGACATGGCACTAAGGATCATGGTTTTGTGATGAGTCTCAGCATCAGACTGATGGTTGGACTTGGTGATCATGAAGGTCTTTTTTATCCTAAATGGTTTGGTGACCCTGTGATTCTGTGTCCAACTTTCCCAGCACAAAACCAGCCTGATTCTTACTGCACCTAACATCGGAAATGGGTCAGACTGATTTCCAGCTGGGATTTGGTCTAGGCTGTCATCAGGTTGGTTCACGGTCCAGCAGCTGATCCATGATCCCTTGCATTGATATGGTAGGAAAGCTGGGTGACTTGCAGCACTCTTGCCATTGTCCCCACCCAGGCCTCTGAGGGCATATAAACCAGAAATCTGCTTTACAGAGAAAGTAAAGGACACAGACAGAGAGACTGCATAGAAAGTGACCCAGCAAGTCCATGTAGAGGTGATAACAGTCCCCAGATTGCCAACAGTGGGTTGTTCTGCAGTACTCGTAATACAGCCCAATAAGCACCAAAGCAAACCACCAGTTTTCAAATTATGCCTGCAGATTTCTCTTCCTTTTATATCCTATTTTAACACCTTCTGGTTGTGTAAATCAACAACACTAGAGAGGAGGACAGTCATTATTACCATTATGTACTACCATTATTAGCACTTAGACTCTCACTGTGCTGGGCACAATGCAGCAGCACAACAAATGCCAGCCTCCCCCCGAACTCCCCAGGATCTGGCATTTCTTTTGTTTTTATCTACTGTCTTTTGTCATTTCTGTTGTCTTTTGCAGTTTGGGGTAGATTTGATGTTTTGCTTCTTCCTGCAGCAGTGCCTTAACACTATGTGGAGGGGAAGGCGACAATCTCAGAGCTGCTCCCAGTGGGCAGTCCTCAGCTGCTGTGAAATAGAGGGCTGGGAGGGACCCATCCATTGGGGCAGCCAGCATGACATTGACCCCGAGGTGGGAAACAGCTCTGTCTCAGGCACTGCCCTTATCTCCTCTCCTGTTAGCTGGTTATCTGGAGCCTGCACCTTGCAACCTCAGGTGTATTGTCATCAATCATTTGCTGTTTTCTGTTGCGTACTGGTTCTTCTCTGCCCTTCCTTTGTTAATAACCCAGTTTGCCTATATCCATAAAAATATCTGATTGTGATACCATTTATCCAAAGCACCATACATCCATCATGTACTTACGAGAGAGATAAACAAGGTCTCCTGGGAAATATGCTGCAAGAAATATATAGGATAAATAACTATATCAAATGTATGTCAATGTGCAAGAGGGGAAAATCCATTCATTAAAGCCAGGGTGGAACCGTAGTGTTTTATTGTACCCTCTAAGCTTTTAGTTTAAGTAAGAAATGTACATTTTTGCTCCTTATCTCATCTAGCACAGCTCTCATGCTGGCCACTTCAGCAGGAGAAATATTAGCTTCTTTGAGTGGCATTGTAAATGTGTAATTGCTCATAATCTTTTTATTTCTTTTCTCTCTCTCTCTCTTTTTTTTTTTTTTTTTTTTTTTTTTTAATTTAAACAGACCTTATGGGCATTTTCTCCCTGGACTGCAGTTCTCTGCTCTCAGCTCTGGGGAGGAAGATGCCTGAGTCCTGGGTGAGCAGAGGAAAGGGGTTGCTGCCCAGCCCTTCTTGGTGTTGGTTCACACTCAATTCTTTCATCATTTGGATTTCTCTGGTTGTGGTGACTTTCCAGCCTTACAGAAATGCCTCCAAAGGTGAGGCTGCAGGTCATCTTCCCCCAGCCTCCACTCTCCAGCCTCTTAGACAGCAAATCTTTCCCTTCATTAATTTCTTCCCCCTGGCCACAGAGGCTCACTGCAGTAGCTTGACTCTCATTTGCTCTTGGGTTTTGTCCCAAGCAGTCTGTGCACAGGTGAGAATCACCCATGAACCAAAATAGTTTGGGATGTAAGAACCCTGTCATATGTTTCTACATAATCACTGAGTCATAGTATCATTAAGGTTGATAGGGACCTCTAAGATGATACAATCACAGAATGGTTTGGGTTGGAAGGGACCTTTAAGATCATGTAGTTCCTGCTATAGGCAGGGACACCTCCATCTAGACCAGGTTGCTCACAGCCCCATCCAGCCTGGCCTTGGTGCTTCCAGGGAGGTGGTATCAACAACTTCATTGGGCAACCTGTGCCAGCATCTCCCCATCTTCACAGTAAAGAATTTCTTTATCAAGTCCAAGTCATCAAAAGCAACCATCATCCCATCACCCCTTTGCCCATTGATCATGTCCTGCATAATGTCCCAGCCCCATGCCAACAACTATTGATAGAACCATAGTGGGAAAATGCTGCTTTGCTCACTTTCCTCCATGCTGCCTTAATCACACCAGTATCAGTGGATGCTTCATGCTGCTGCATTTTCTTGGCATAGAAGACGTCAGATCCAAACCCTGGGGAGCAAATCTACCTCTGGATGAATGCAGACTTTACCTGGGAAAGCAAGCTTGGCAAAAAGGCCACCGTTTTGTCACACATTCATCCACATCTTAGAAACGTGTCGTAGTAATTTTTCACTGAAAAATCAAACCTTGGTGTTCGAGACAACACGGTTTGTTATTTTCTTATACAAAAAAAAAAAAAAAAAAGAAAAGAAAAGAAGAGAAAAAAAAAGGCTGCAGTTTCACTTTCAAGCAAAACAGAAGTGATTAAAAAAAGAAAAAATTATCTTTTGGCAAATGTGCACACAAAAGAAAATATGGGGCCAGATCTTCGGGTAGCATAAATCAGCTGCAGTGAAGGAGCTACACTGATTTACATCAGCTACATGTCAGCCTCTAAATCACCACCAACACACTGTTGAGAAACAAGCATTTCCAAGCATCAGAGCTAGAGCTGAGCAATTTCTTTCACTAAACCACGATTCCTTTCCCATTCAAATGTATGTAGAAGTGCTCCTTTGTGCTTTGAGGTTTTGTTGCTGTTCATAATGCTTGATTCCTTCTCAGGGCTTTTTCCCCCCCTCCCTTCTTTCCCTGCAATGCAAAGCGCAGTGAAATAAAGTGCCACTTGCCTTCTGTCCTCCCTGGGTTTTGTGGCAGTTCATTAAGAGGGCTGAGCTGTGGGCTCTGGATGCAGTTCAATACCACATGTATTCCTGTGCTGAGATTTATGCCTTACGTTCAGAAGAGATCTTTAAATCAAGCAGCTCAGTAGCAACTTCTCTGTCTCTGGATGCCCAGGGCATGAAATGCCCATGTGCCAATCAGCCCATCACTGGTGCGAGAGGAGCAGCCTGCCCCTATGTGAGCATCCCCTGAGGAATGGTTTCCTTCCGGCCTCTTTGTTACTTTATTAATTGATGTAAGAATCTTTAACACTTTGAGTTGACATTTCACAATGGCTCTTTGAACGTCTTTGGGCTTAAGCTTCCTCCATGCAGCTCAGCATATGGCTTTACTGAAGACACAGCCCTGTCCAATATGCTAGACGTAAGAATCTGACGGTGCCAACTTATAAAAGTTTCATGGTACATATGCCAATACCAACTGCATAAAAATGCAAGGATCGCGAGCTTTTAATTTGTTTTCCAAAGGCAAACATAGACATTTCCACGAGTAAACAGTTCTAACCCGTGTATTTCATACCTGAGGCACTTAGAGCCTTGAGCTCGTGCCTATGGAGCCATGCTGGGTTCAGCAGGAAGAGCTCTGCCCATCTCTCCCCATGCAGGGTGCCCCTCCATGCTGTGGGGCTGGGTTGCTGCATTGCCGGCTGCGGTGCCGTGAGCCCGACTGGCACGAGGTCCAGGATGACCAGCAGCTCCAATGCCCATCTGTCTCTGTGCCTGCAAAAGCATAGGACATAAATTATAATGTTTGTCTCACCTGAAGAGCTGCAGTTTGACTTCCCAAAGGGCTGCCAGCAGCTCTCTGTGCTAATTCCCCCACCTCCAAGCAAGGCAGAGGGACAAATATCCCCTAGACTCACTGTTGTGGAGCTGTCCCAAAAGCCCACCTGTGCCTGTGCAGATGGGTCAGTTTGAGGCTTTTTCTTTACAGTACAGACTGAGATGTCAGGTGTGTTCGATACTATAGATTACAGCAGTGCTTCTGAATGATGGGAGTGCTTGATGGCTGTCATTTACTGTCGTGTTTTATTTACTCAGCTGGCCTTCATCTCTGGCTTGGGCACTTTATTAATCTGAACAGTAAAAATGGATCTGTGTGCTCTTACTTAGAGCTGGATGAAAAGCTGGGCTTCCCAGCTTCTGAAATACTCTTCTTTAAAAACACAAAAAAAAAAAAAAAAACAAACAAAAAAACCCCCACATTTGCTTTTAAATGAGTTTTGAAACTAAAAATCTGCTTCATTTCCATGAGCTGAAAATCCTGTTCTGTCCCCTCTTCATTGCTAAAAACCAGGAGCCACCATTTCTGGATGTGTCCAAGAACCACAGAGATGTGGCATTGAGGGACATGGTCAGTGGGTACATTCGGGGTGTGTTGGGGTTGGGCTTGGGGATCTGAGAGGGCTTTTCCAGCCTTATTGATGCCGCGATGCTCAGAGCAATTTGTGTGAGTGCAGTGGGTTTCTTAGGTTTGGAGACAACCCAACCTGAGGTTGCTGGTTTTCTTAAAAAAAAAAAAAAAAAAAAAAAAAAAAAAAGGGCCACTTTTGAGTCATTGAGCCACTGCTTTTTAGTTCAGTTTCATAAATCATCTACCAAACTTTGCTTGTATTCCTTATCGCAGATCTGATTTTCCAGTGGAGAGGCCCTAATTACCAGCAGGTAGTTGAAGGCCTGGAGCTGTGTTGGGTGGAACTGCTGTGTTTAACATCGTGTGTCAGCAGAGGGGAGGACTCATGGTAGTCCTACAGCTCCTCACTGGAAATGAGGGGACAGCATGAGCTCTGCAACCTGGGACAGTGAGAGGACCCAAGGGAATGGCATAGAATTGCATCAAGGGAGGGTTGGGTGGGGGCGAGGGAAAGGCATTGCCCCAAGCTGCCAGAGCTCAGGGAGTGCTGGGACATCTCTCTCAACCATAGGGTTCAGGTGGTCCCATGTGGAACCAGGAGTTGGGTTCAGTGATCTTTATTCCCCCCCCCAACTCAGGATATTCTGTGTTGGTTTACCACGTGCATGGACAGCTCTGTCCCCTCTATGGGAGCACACTGGGACCTCACCTTGGTGCTCAGTCTGCTCACAGACAGGGCCACTGTATCCAGACCGGCACTGGCACGAGCACTCATCTCCCACCAGGACAGGTTCCCCATTGTTCTGGCATGGCCCACAGCGACAGGCATTGAATTCCAGCAGGTACTCATCCAAAGCCCGCTTCAGGTGCTGCCGTTTGGTTTCCATGTTGCCAGCATCACTTCTGCGCAGGATTTCGTGGATAGGTTGCAGCTGCACAGGGTGGAGATAAAGAATGGAGGTTGGGGATTTCAGCTGGGCACAAACTCAGGTGCTGCAGAGAGCAGGGAGATTGCTGGGTAAAGGCAAGGCTGAGAAAAAGCTCATTTGTCTTCCTCGACAGCTGCATGGATGTGATGCAGACGTTACCACCACTGATAGTGCCTAGTGAGAAACCACTGGTCCAAAACTCTTCCCATCTTAGAGATCTGTGTGGGAATGGCTTCTTTTGACATGCTTTGGTTTTTCAATGTGGATCCAAATGAGAAATCAGAACACCCCAGTAAGCCCGTTGTTTGATTGATTTCTTACTGCTGCCACAGTGTCAGGTTCTTGCACGCCTTTTGCTTTTTTGAACCAAAAACATTTGGGTGAGAGCTTCAGACAGCGGGTATCATCGAAACTAAACACTGAGAATTTTATCTGCCTACATCTTGCTCTTTGATACTGTGAAATAATGCTAAGGCATCTACAGCTTTAAAAGCATAGCAAGCTTTTGTATTTCCAGTAGCGAAATGCAGTTCTTGTGTATGATTAATCAAAATATCCAGATGTAGACAGCTGTAATTGTAACCCACCTTCTGCTTTGAGCCTACTCCATAGGATTGATGGGATTAGCCAAAGGGCATCAGGCTCATACACTGGTGGCAGGGCTCTGCCTTTTGAAATGCCATGAGTGGCTGTTCAGGGTGTGTTAGGTATTCAGCTGTGTTTAGAAACTGGATCCATGAAAAATCTCAGCCTTTCCAGTTTCACCAGTAACAAAAGGGAACTTTAAAGCAACAAGCTCAAGGCCGATGCGAGGACACACATCTATATGCCTAGCATGCATCTGGCTGAGAACTGGTGAGCATCAGTCCAGGAAAGTCCTGAGTATCATCTCATTGCACAAGGCACACAGGGTGAGGAGGATCAGAAAGGCTTTGGGAAGAGCTCTTAGTCCAATTTGTATAAACTCGTTTAACAAATGAGCGCGAGCTACAGATAAGCGCTGTTACAGTGGACATAGGAACTTATTGGCAGCATGAAATGCTGCTGGTTGCACAACGATGGCTGAGCTCTCAAAGCAGCCAGCAGAGAGGTCAGCAGGTGTTTTACTGGAAAACTGCAATAAGTTTTGCCCAGAGTTGATGGGAATTGGTGAAGAAAGGTGAATAACCTGAAGCATGCATTCAGTTGTGACTGAAAGCACTTGCTCTTTAGCTGGCCTTTCTGCTACCAGGGTGCTGCCCAGAAGGCTTTGCAGATTCCCACTTTCCTGACAGCAATGCAAATAATTACCAGTTCCACTACTTACTTCTCTTTTACTGTTTGGCCCTCTTGCTGTACTTCCTTCTATTGGCAGCAAGGATGGCTATGGCACTGTGTCCATGCTGTGACCCTGGTCCTTCCTTCACACTAGGAATCCCTATAGGATGCCTCAGTTGAAATTCCCATTTTACAGACCATCCAATAAAATGGGAGGATGAGAACTTTGCTGATTTTTATGGCCACAAACCCTCTCTGCAGAGCATGGGAAGAGATAGGACCCCACTGAGAAAGTGGTTTTTCCTGCTCTAACTCCTGGAAGCACCCATAACAATGCATTTTTCACACAGAGGGTGATGACACATTGGAACAGGTTGCCCAAGGAGGTTGTGGATGCCCCTTTCCTGGAGTCATTCAAGGCCAGGCTGGATGTGGCTCTGGGCAGCCTGGCCTGGCAGTTGGCGACCCTGCACATAGCAGGGGGTTGGAACTGATGAGCATTGTGGTCCTTTTCAACCCAGGCCATTGTATGATTCTATGATTCAATACCCACCGTGGTGTGCAGAGGTTTGCTAGAACCACTGTGGCTCTGAAGCAGGCAGAATGTGAACTGTTCCCCATGAATATCCTGCCTATACAGGAGGCCAGGAGCATTAGTGAGAATAATAGGGGTGGATGCAACCATGGAGAGCCTCTCACTGGGAAGCTGTTTGGGGACACATCACAAACTTAACTCGGCACTAATCCAGCATTAAGCTCCTTGTCTGCCTCCCTGCTGATGCTGCCAGCAGGAGATGTACTCCCCATTGTGAAATGAATAAGAGGTTACTAGATCAGTGGCCCATTACATTTAATCTTGTTCTGTGATGGGATCACAATAAAAATACGAAATGATCTGCTCGGCTACACTTTCATTCGTTATAGTGGCAGAGTTTCTTCAACTGCAGAAAGCCTTACCTCAAAATCAATAATAGCTGGATTATATTTTAATGACCTTCCCCAGCGCCGATACGTGTTGCTATCCCAACTGCTTAAGGGCTGTGCACTGTAAGAGGTATCTCCACCTTTAATCCGGACAATGATATCTTCCACGACTGGACTGTTGCTCCCAGCATCTGAGAAGTCAGCTAACACACATATAATTAGTTACCACATCTACGCAAGAAACTGCACAGTTCAGTCATCATAGGGACTCTCAGTGAGTGGTACCAGTGCTGGACTCCCAAAATTAAAGGATGCTCCATTTCTTTCTGCACTGGCAGGGTGAACCCTCTGCATTGTTATAACGTGGTTGGTGACAAGTTAAGCACTGACAAATGCCCAAAGCTGGTAAGACCTAAAGAGGCTGCACATCTCTGGCCTTTATGTCTGCTTAGCATGGATTCAGACCTCCTTGTCTATCAGTGGGGTTTTCTGCTTGTTATGATCAGCTTTAACTTATTCAATAGACACCTTGTTGCCCTCTCTGGTCCGGCACTGGCCCCATGGGTCACAACAAAGTCTCCTGCATGTTTGATGACACATGGGACATCTACAGAGAGACTGGAGCCACGGGGCAATTCCAAGGGAGCATGGGGGCTTGGATCTGATTTTTATGTCTCCCGGTTCATCCCTGCCCACTCTGGGGTGGCTGAAGGGACTGTAGCTCACCAGTCATCCTTAACTCTACTTACATTTACTACTTCAATATCTCTCAAGAGGCACCTGCTCCTGGAGAGGGTGAGCCGAACATGCTTTTGTCCCACCTTGGGTCTGAGCTGTGTCTTGAGCTAGCACCCAAGAACAACACCCAAGAACACCTTCTATACCTTGTAACCCTATCTTAACCCACAGGCTCAGCGACAAAGGAATGGAGCCATGGACTGTATCTTAGCAGACAACTATTCCATCACCATACCAGCATTCAGAAGCTGTTTCTCTGCGCAGACAGAGAGTGACACAGATGCTTCCCAGTGCAGCATAAGCTTTGTGGCTGACATGCCCACTGAGAGGCCAAAACAGGTGGTTACTTCTTCATAGCTGATGTCTGTGAAGCAACAATGCAAACAGTAAATGCAGTGATTAGTACTGAGTGGAAGGTTTTCATTTTCCCACTTGTGTATTTCACGTCAATGAGGAAAATAGTCAGCTAATTACACTGCCTGTTACTCACAGGCTTATTCCAGGCAGAGAACAGCCTTCAGCCTCACAGTGGCAAAGCCAAGCATTTATTGGGATGTATTGGACCATATTAGGTGAATAGGGAAACTTCCTTACCAGTAAGTAGTTTCCTTCCTATTAAAAGAAACAGAATATCTTAATACAAGACTTCAAGCACGTATTTCCTTCTTTGGCCATTTATTTAAAATGGGAAAGATTTTGTAGTTTTTGTTTGTGGGGGTTTTTTTGGTTGTTGCTGTTGTTGTTGTTGTTGTTGTT